AGCTCTAGTTCGCCGGAAAGTTTCCATACCCGCGTGTTCGTTCATAAAAAGCACATCACGGAGAAGAAATTGTTTTATTATTTCAGGAATACTTCGATATATCAAAAGCATATGGGTTTTTCTCATTGTAATAGCGAGAGCCAAGGACCGCATACACTACAAGATTATACTATAAACTGCTACTGCCGGCAGACAACATACCCCTAACTAGACGGCTAAAGCTGAGGACAACGAGTCGTCATTATGAAGAAGCCAGAGTTCCATGCCAGTTGATCAAAACGCAAGCGACCATCCATCAAACTGACAAAAACGCAAGACACCATTCAGTCACCCGTGAATACCTGGAGAGTTGAGGAAGACTGCATCAAGCGCATCGGCCTCTCAACTAAACATTTTAAGTAAGTAGAACAGTAAGGTGCAAAGCCAGCCTAGGCAACGCAACCGACCGTAGTCGTTCCCGGGCGGGCCAAAATAGGTGCCTCTTTGATCTAAATACGAACCCAGGGCGTAAGACCTAGGCCCAAGTATTCAAACGGAATACTTGTTGACCTGCACCGACTTGTGGACATAAAAGGATATTCAATTACAGGTAAGCCTGGGTGACTGGATGGAAAAAAGCACAGACAAAAAAGTCTCTTAAAATTGAATCTTTGAGACTAGTGCGAAAATAATAGCCCAGATACGACTCGAAGTTATGCGCTGCAGCCGTGAGATAGGGGAAACGTCGTCTAAGGCAAATAGACATGAAACAAACGGTATTGTTAGTATATGAGAAACACTCAGCATATCCTGATAGGAGAAGACACAAAAAAAACGTCGGCTGCCCTCTATGGAAGAAAAAGTGCGAAGTATGCTGCTGGCCTGAAAAAAGAAGAAACCATGGAAAGGTATTGGATGCGGGAGCTGAAGATTCTGTCAGGCAAAATCTTCAACACCTAGAACTTCGAATAAATCTAACTTCTTTAACCTACTTTTGAAAACTCGGCTATTCTCAGAGCATACACCTCCCTGGGAAGACGTCGAAACCATCTGGCTATACGGTAGAGAAGAAAGTTGAACAGCTGATTTGAACTTCTGTTATGAAAACTTACATAGTCCAAACTAAAACCGTTCCCCCTCTCACTGCTTGGTCTAAAGACCCAGTACTTGCTGGGGAGCATTTTCAATTCTCTACGAAAAATTCGGAAACCCAAATACAAGATCCGAAAGAATCCTTCTGTACCGTAGTGTTGTTAGACCCAATCGTTCTAATCGCTCGCCATGGCTGGGGAGAACACGCTCGCGTGAGCTCTTATTGACCCGGAGGAAAACCAGTCTTGTGAACGTGTTTTGTACTCTTTCGAGCTTAAGAATGTCCTTTTTAAGAGTCGGGTTCCAAACTTGGGAACAATATTCCAAATAAGGCATAACATAAGCTCGATATAGACGAGTAAGTATATCTGGTACATCACTATGTGTATTCCGAAAGATGGTAAAGAGGCACTCCGTCACCAATGTGGAGTACAAAACATTTACTCAAGTTGACCATTAAGTCAAAATTCCTAGCCCACTCATCAAGCTTCTCGATAGATTGTTCAAGAGCTCTAGAGACCTCGTCACGATTGTTTTCGTTGTAGCAACCATATATCTTCACATCATCCGCGTAAACCTGCACTCTGATATTTAGTGAGGTTTTGAGAAGCTGTGGTAGCTCAATTGTATATAAAAGAAACAAAAGTGGAGATAGAGCACCACTCGTGCAATGATGTCTCTTGGAGTAACCACAACCTACTCTGACAGTCATATATCGATCACACAAATACGATTCAATCCATTTTATTAGACGACCACCAATTCCTAATCTTTTGAGAGTCAGTAGCAGTTTTTGATGATTGACTTTATCAAATGCCTTCGACAAGTCAACATAAACAACATCGACAGATTCACCGCGATCCAAGGCGAGTTTCCAATCAAACAAGCTATCAACCAGATTGGTGGTGGTACTAGCTCCTGGAAGAAAGCC